TAGTTTATAATTTTAACTGAATAGGCAGCATTGTTCAGTCATGATGTAAAACAGGTGGTCAATGAGCCAATCAACAAGTATTTATTAAGTGCTTATTATATGCTGAGTTCTGTGATAAATACTGGGAAAGACAATGGAAAGAAAGACAAGATAACTTTTTGCTCAAGAAACTCACATTCCAATGGTTGAGACATCATATAAATAACTAGGTACACACAAGAAACATATAGAATAGATGAAAGGTAACTTGTGTTTAGTTACTTCAGTTGTGCCTGACTCTTTGTGATTTCTTGGCAAAGATACTAAAGTGTTTTACCATTGCCTTCTCATTTTAAATAGATTTACATTTTTTCCCCCATTGGCTTTATTTCCCATTGTATTCCTCCTTTTCCCTCCCTCCAGAAAGCTATCCCTATAACAAAAAATTTTTTAAAAAAAGGACAAAGAAAAGGAAAAAATTCAGCAGAACAGAACTATGCAACATTCTGCTCCCATGAAGTGCCCCTACCCCTACCCCACCCCTGTAAACTAGTGGAGGGTGGCCTCATCTCTCTTCTTTGGGGTCAAGCTTTATAGGTTTGCTGGATGGCTCTTTTTATACACTCCCCTAATTTGCCAGAAGGGAATTTACCCTGGGCTGCAGACTTTCCTCATGTCAACTTGACATAGTAATAATAATATTAGTAATAGTTAATAACAATGTAACAACAACAAAAGTAATAACTATAATTGATATGTGCTTGAAAGTTTGCAAAGTGTTTTACAGCTACCTCATTTGATCCTCATAACAATCCCAGGAGGTAGGTGCTGTTCTTATTCCTATTTTACGGATGAGGAAATGGAGGCAGGTTAAATGACTTGCCCAGAGTCATACTGCTAGTAAGTGTCTGAGGCTGGATTGGAACTCAGATCTTCCTAAGCTTCCTAAAGTGCTTCCCACAGCCTTTTATGCATTCTGAAACATCATCTAAACACCCATTCTTCTGGCTGTGTTCCACAGTTAGCTAGGTGGTACAGGGTGAATGTAATAATTTTGATCTCTGTTTTATAGATAAGGCTCCAGGATATTAGTTATCCCTTCCAAATTTCTGAGGTTAGGGGAGCATCTCCTACATGTAAAATTTTTTGGCCCTTCCTTCAGCACTAAAGAAGTCTGGATTATTAGGGTATTAAAATATAAAATGTTATACTATAAATAAATGTATTATATTTATATACTTTATATATTACATAAGAGTATATATAAATATACTATAAATATAAATAAAACTATAAATAAAATATATTTTACAATGCTATACATATATTTTATGCATTTCTGCATTTCTAAAACTTTTTCTGTGTTGTCTGCTGGCCTTTGCATGTTGTCTGTGGCTTCTGCAAAACTCCAAAAAAATTCCGATTTAATTTTTTATGCCAACCCACGATGTATCATAACCAACATGGGGAAAGTTGCAATGTGGAAGGAATAATTGTACTTGACTTGCTCCTTGCCAATCAACCATACACTTCCCCTGCCTACTGCTCCTATCACCCCCAACAAATAATAAAACTATTAAGCTATTAAAAAAATTTTAAACTATTAAAATAATAAAAGTATTAAATAAATAACAAAACTGAATGTCTATGTAACCAATGACCCTGAGAAAGAGAGATCCTTTCTTCAGGGAGCCTACAGCATAACTCTGGAGGGGAGCCAGAGAAGGAACAGATCAACTTAGTGGACAGACAGCTTGCCTCAGGGGCAAGAAGACCTGGGTTGAAGTCCTGCCTTTGACACCTCCTGGCTTTATGTCCCTGGGAAACTCACTTAACTCTAAGCCTCCATCCCTCATTTGAAAATGAGAGATTTGGATCAGATGGCCTCCGTGATCCCTTCCAGATCTAAATTTGTGATCCTGTGACCCCTCAGGCAGAGCCAGGCCAGCCTCAATAGAGCTACCTACACTCTCCCTTCGAAAGTGTGTGCCAGCCCTGTCCTATTTCTCAAGAGCTTTAACAACTCACTCCACCACACAGGCGTAGGCAGACCTTCAGCTTGTGTGTGTGTGTGTGTGTACACATACACAACACACACACACACTATGGTCCTCTCCTGTTTCCTCTTTCCGTAGACATTACTCTACAGCTCATTCAATGCCCCTCCTCCAAATTCTCTGGGATGAGGGAAAGAGGAGTGAAAGGCAATTGTGTGGGTACCAGGACCCAGAGAGACAGGAAAGAAAGCTATGAATGGGGGTCCTGGGAGAGTTAAGTAGGAGAAGAGTAGGAAGTCCCCAGGAAGGGAGTAAAGGTAGGAAGAAACCATATAGGAAACAGATTAGACTTGGTTTTTCTTGATTTCAGAGGTCAGAATTAGGTACAAATACAATGGAAGCTGCAATAAGGCAGATTTCTGCTAGATGTAAGGGGAAAATTTCTTAAGATTTAGAGCTGAGAGTGGAATGGAGATAATTACACAAGGAATGTGGTCTCCATCTCTGAAGGTTGGACAATCATTAGTTGGGGATGCTGTAAATAGGTTTGATATTTAGATGTAGGCTAGGCTAGATGACCCCTAAGAGAAGAGTGGTCTTGGGGGCCTTAGAGGATGGCGTACCAGCTGGAAGAGGTTCTCCCAATAGTCTTGTGTCATGAGTCGGAAGAGGGCAAGGAAGGCCCAGCTGAAGGTGTCATAACTGGTGTAACCATAGTTGGGATTCCTGCCTGCCTTCATGCACTCGTAGCCCTCAGGACAGTGCCTGAAAGAGAAGGAAGGAGGTTAACAGGGTATGTACTGAGGCTGGATGTAGCTTCCTCCAGCCTTTCATGTCTATGTAGCCTTTACTAACTACTGGGGGCTTGTAGTCTTGGAATCCCTGAGTTGGGGCATGAAGGAAGAAGATGGAGTAGGACTCTTCCCAATGTCTTTGTACTTGGGCCAGTGCCTTGGGAGAGGAGGAAGAGCTTGAGTTTCTGGCTGGTAAAGAGCCCCAGAGAAGGGATGTGAAGAGAAGCCACCTAGGTTCTTGGGCAAGATGGATAGGAGCTCCACTGTGGAGGGAAGCTTGGGGGTGCCCAGTGAGAGGTCCTGCCTCTACCCTCAGGCACCCACATACCAGCTGGATCATTTTCCCCTTTCTCTGCATGTCTTGGTTTCCATAGCCCCATCCCAAGTCCCTGCTCCCACGTCCCCTCTTCCTGCCTTTCCTTCCCCATCCCTTCTAGCTCAGTATCTCCAGTCTGTGGGGGTAGCTTCTTCCTTCCCCTGGTATCACTCACCCTGCATCGCTGCTGTTTCCACAGAGCAAGGCATCAAGGGCACCCTCCAGGAAATAGAAGTTCCCTTTGTTGGGGATGAGGGGCATCACAGGTCATGGAGGAGGGACATCACGAATACAAACGTGTTGGGGGCACGTATGTATACAAACATACATAAATACATTACATACATACATGCTCCTATTCCTTATTTCCCACCCAATTGGGAGAAAGGGGGCTGCTCTGACTATCCTTTGAGCTCCTACTGCTCCATCTTTCCTCTCCTCTGCCCATCCGCAGGCCCCTGTCTCAGTCTAAGTATCTCCAAGGAACGTGACTTCAGGGGACAGAAGCTCAGAGTCCAATGTGGCTAAAGAAACACAAAGCAGCTGACACTAAGTGTTTCTATGATGCTGAAGACAAGTATGTACAGTCAGTTCTCATCATTTGTGGTAGCTTTGGTCTATAGAGTCAACTTGAACACTGAATTGGCAAATACTCAACCATTGGTGCTAGGGGAAATACAGGGTTAAGTTCCTGTGAGCCTCTGGTCACAACATTCACTTTAGCACTTTCTAGAATGGCCTCAAATACAGATTGACAAATTTCCTCTTCCTTTTTCTGGACATACCATATTGTTGATTCGTTAACACCGAATTTATGGCTGACAACATTATGACTCATGCCCAAATGAAGCTCATCTATTGCATGTGTTCTCTCCATAAAACATATTGCAGCCTTTTTGAGCTTAGAGACTCTAGACAATACTTCAGCGCTGTGCTTGGGGGCCATTTTAAACAGGGAAATCACAAAAAAGCATGAAAATGTAGAATAACATGGCACTAAATAGACCTTGAAAAGAACCTCAGCTGGGAACATTCCCACTGGGTGACTCCAATTTTCTGCTGCTCTTTGCATGTGCACAAATGACCAAGAAAGCATCTTGAGTGTTGATTTGGGGGTTAAAGATAAATTTTATCAAGTAGGCAAATTTAAAAATATGGAATCTATGAATAATGAGGATCAACTATATATATATATATATATATATACATATACATACATGTATGCATATCACATATATTTATATACACATATAAATGTGCATTATATATATTACATGTATACAGATAATATCTATATATAACATACAGATGTCTTTTTCTCTGTCTCTATCTTTCTCTGCCTGGGAAGATAGGACGCTATTGTTGCCCAAAACTGGGTGTCTATACAGATTAAACAGAGAGAGCTAAGTGCTCAGAGATTGGGAGAAAAGGACTTCCCTAAAGGTGAGAGGCCAACAGAAGTATAACTAGTATAGGGCAATTGGAGCTTTGTCCTAGGGCATTTAATCTGCAGGGCACTGACATCACTTGGAATTCTTTGGAGCACTGGCATGAGTTCACTTCCCCTCTTCTACCAATCCCAAGCCATTTCTACCTCTCTACCCTAGCCCAGTTTCCACAGCATCCTGAAGTCCATGCTCTGAGGTTTCTGTCCACCTTCCTCTACCCCTCCCAGCCAGTCCTCTTCCTTACACTCCAGCTGAAGGCTCCTTCTTTCTGGCTACTTGTCCTGGGCACAAAAATCCATTATTACAGCTCTGGAGGCCTGGCCCTTCTCACCTTCATCATTGATGTAGGCATCCCAGTCAAAGGTAAAGTTGCTGTATTCTGTGTTGTTACCAAAACCTGTCTCATTGCTGAACAAGGCCGTCCCATTGTCATACCAAGTCTCATTGATGCCACTGAAGGGGGGTGGCCATTTCACACACTTTTGCCTCAGATTCCCCATGAAGAGCTGGAGCCCAACTAAGGCGAAGACACTCAGGCAAAAGACTGTGAGAATCATCACATCCGACAGCTTCTTCACCGACTGGATCAGTGCCCCTACAATTGTCTTCAGTCCTAGACAAGAAGATGGCAGTGATGGTGGGCGTGCATGGGGGTGCACCAGGGAAATAGCTCCCCTCCCCCATTGCTGAACTTGCCATACTCTGACTCTCGTTCTCTGCATCAGTCACCTCTTTCAACACCCGGTTTAAAGACTTATCCTCCTTGTGAAGCCTTCCTAGATGACTCCAATTATTTCCTGGTTTTGTATGTCCTTGGTTCTGTTTCTCATAGATTCTTAGACCTTAGGATCTACACTATCTCGCAGTAACAGTTCACATTTATATCATACCTTAATATACTTTACATGCATAATCTCATTGCATCTTTACCATAGCACTGTATAGGAGGTATTATTATGTCCATTTTACAGATGAGAAAGTGAGGCTCAGAGAAATTTAAGTGATTTGTCAAGGGTCACTCAGGGAGTAAATATCTGAAGTGGGATTTAAACCCAAAGTCTTCCTGACTTCCCTGTCATTTCCACCCTATATATCTTGTTTGTACATAATTATTTGCATGTTGTCTCCTTTCCAGAGTCACACAGCTAATAAGTATCTGAGACTGGTTTTGAATTCAGGGCCTCCTGGCTCCATGTCCAATACTCTGTCCATTGTGCTACCTAACTGTTTCTTGAGGGCAGGAACTATTTTAGCCTTTCTTTGAATCCCCATTGCTTAGCATAGTGCCTGACACACAGTAGGTGCTTAATAAATGTTTGTTGCCTGACTGACTTCAGATCCAGCCTCCTAGACACTGTCACATTCTTTATACTTGATTAAATGCTACCTCAACTTACTCTCTGTTTGGTCAACATATGTACAGGCACCCAGTGGGTCCTTAACTATAAAATAGAGATAATAGCACCTCCATTCAGGACTGTGTGAAGAAAAAATGAGCCAATATTTGAAAAGCACTTAGCACAGTGCCTGACACTGCTGCTAAAAAGCTGCTAAAAAAATTCTTCCTTTCTTCCTTCCTTCCTTGCTTTTTCCCTCCCTTTTTCCTTTCCTTCTTTCTTTCTTTCTTTCTTTCTTTCTTTCTTTCTTTCTTTCTTTCTTTCTTTCTTTCTTTCTTTCTTTCTTTCTTTCTTTCTTTCTTTCTTTCTTTCTTTCTTTCTTTCTCTCCTTCCTCAAATATAGAATCATAGATTTATACATTTAGAGCTAGAGAGTTTTTATTCCCCAAGTAAAATGTGAGCTTCTTTTATTTTGCCTTTTTTGCGTGAGGCAACTGGGGTTAAGTGACTTGCCCAGGGTCACACAGCTAGTAAGTGTCAAGTGTCTGAGGCCAGATTTGAACTCAGGTCCTCCTGACTCCAAAAAATGTGAGCTTCTTCAGGACAGCCTGGCTTATACTTCATGTCCAAGTATCTCCAACTCTCAGCATAGTACTTTGTACCAAATGGTCACTTCATAAATTTTTTTGGGTTGTAATAGAGAACACCTAGTTCAATCACAACATATTACAGACAAGGAAACTGAGACCCAGAAAGATGAAATGACTTACATGAAATCACTTTACAAGTGGCAGAATGGAGACTAGAACTCGAGTCATCATACTACAAACCGGTGCTCTTTCCACTCTCTTCCACTCTACTTCCGACTTCTTGGATTAATTGAGTAATTGATTGATCTTGAGAAATAATTTGGTACTGCTCCCTGGTACTATACCTACAGACAGCTATCTAGTTTTGATCATTTCTAGGGACAGAGAGAACAATTCCACAACTTAACCTTGAGTGCACATTCCAATGACCTATCCCTTTGATCCTCAAGAGGTCCTTCCTCCTATCAGATCAGAATCTTACTTCCTTTAGAAGCTCATTTCTTCTTTTTCAGTCTCATGTGGGCAACATGCTTCAACAGCCTCCTCAGCAAAACCTACCACAAACTTAGAGACAGTGAGCTGTGTGGTACAGGAAAGAACCCTTGACTGAGAGTCAATACCTGAGGTGTCATCCTGGCTCTGATGCTGACTAGCTTGTGTGATCCAAGACAAGTTGCATGACCTTCTAGGCCTCAGTTTCCTCCTTTGTAAAATGAGATGGTTGAACTAGATATCTCACATTTATAAAGCAAATTTCCTCCCTATAATCCTTGAGGAAGGTAATATAATTACTATTACCACCATTTTAAAGTCAAGGAAAATGAGGTTCAGAGAAGCTTTGTCCACGATGATATAATATCTGAAGACAGAATTTGAATCTTGAACCTAGACCATCTGACTCCAAGTCTGGCCAGCATTTTGCCCCTGTACTACCTAGAATTAACTTCTAAGGTCCTTTCTGTTGTTATTCACTCATTTTAGTCGTGTTTGACTCTTTGTGACCCCATTTGGGGTTTTCTTGGAAAAGATACTGGAATGGTTTGCCATTTCCTTCTCTAGCTCATTTTACACATGAGGAAACTGAGGCAAACAGGGTTAAATGATTTGCCCAGGGTCACCCAGCTAGCAAGTGTCTAAGGCCAGATTTCAACTCAGGTCTTCTAATTCCAGGCCACCTAGCTGTCCCCTTTCTAGCTTTGATATTAGAGTGTTTCTTCCTTTCTAGCTTTGGTGTTAGAGTGTTTCTTTGATTTTTCCTCTAAGAACTTCTTCTCCATCCCTTTGATCAACGTGGTCTCCACTTTCTCTACCTTTTCCAGGTCCTAGGTCTCTTACTTCCTATAGTGACAGATTCCTTTATGCTGTTTTTACTTTGCACTTGTCAACTACATTACTTTGGAATTATATTGCTGTTGTTTCTAGTGTACGTCTGTGTGTGCTTGATCTCCCCTAATAAAACCGGAAGTTCCTAAAGGATATAGCCCCCTGTCCCAAAGCCCACAAGGATGGGACTCACTCCTTATTGATGGAGATGGAGATGAGGGCTTTCATCTTCCTCAGTAAAGAAAGAGTCCCGTCCTAACAGGCTTAGGGACAGAAATTTCTTTTCTTTTTTTCCCTTTTTTTTGGGGGCAATTGGGTTTAAGTGACTTGCCCAGGGTCACACAGCTAGTAAGTGTCAAGTGTCTGGTCTGAGGCTGGATTTGAACTCAGGTCTTCCTGACTTCAGGGACAGTACTCTATCCACTGTGCCACCTAGCTGCCCCAGGGACAGAGATTTCAAGGGGAAGATATGAAATTCTTCCAGGGACCTCATGCTGTGTTTTAACATAGTAGGCACACAATGGTTCTGATGTTGCTTACTTTCTTTTCCACTCTGGTCAGAGGAGACTTTTCTACCCTGTGTTTTGGTCTAAGTACCTCATAATGAACAGGAGCCTATGTTTCTCTGGCCTTAAGCTTTTTCACTCTGGGAAAATTTCTTTTGATCTGAAGTATCCTGTTAAAGGACAACAGCCTCGGGGTAGGGGGAGAAAGCAGAGGAGCAAATGCTTCCAAGGCATGGAAAATGGGATGGAAGCCATGAGATATTTGCAAAGTGCTTTGCAAACCTTAAAGTGTCATATAAATGCTAGCCATCATCATCATCATCATCATCATCATCATCATCATCATCTTTTTTATTATCATTATTATTCAAAAGTCCCAAACCCCACCCTACCCCAGAACACCAGTACCTGGAATGACTGTTATAGTCTTCAGGGCTCGAAGCACACGGAAGGTCCTCAGGGCTGAGATGTTGCCCATGTCCACAAACTCTGTCAGGTACCTGCAGGACAGGACAGTGGAGAAGTATTCATGCCAGTGCCTTAAGAGGTGAGAAAGGATCAGTTGTGTGTCTATGGAGGGGGGAGTGGGGATGGTGTAGCAGATAGCACTCAGTCGTTTTAGGTCTACCAAATTAAAGGGATTCCTAAGGAGACAAGGCTGGAGTTGGGGTGTTGGGAGGGACCCAAACTGTATGTAACCCCTATTGTGAACCCCAAGAAATGCTCCAATAGAACAGGAGACAGAAGAGCTGGAGAGAATGCTGTTTAGTCCTCTCAAAGAAAGTTGGGGGTTTCGTAACAAAGCATTTGTAAAGCACTTTATAAAGCACTTTCCTTACAACCTTGTGAGGTTGCTCAGGCAAAAATTGTTGTTCCTATTCTACAGATGAGGAAACTGAGTCTCAAAGGAATTAAGGGATTGGGTGCTCAAGGTTGCACAGCTAATAAATAGTAGAACTAGGACTTAAAATCCAGGTCTTCTGACTTGAAGCTTTCTGCATCACACCATAACTTATGGTCTGATAAAGTAAGACCATCCTCTTCTCAGGATCTACCCACATGCTAAGTAAGACCATCCACTTCTCAGGATCTACCCACATGCTAAAAGGTCACCTAATCATGCTGTTCAGGACTCCTGATTCCCATTCTCCCACTTCTCTAAGACAGCACCTTCCTGAGGTGAGTTCCCTCACACTCTCTGGACCCTTTTCCTGTCCCCTCAGAATTCCCCTCACGCCATCATGATGACACTGAAGTCTAGCCAGTTCCAGGGGTCCCGGAGGAATGTGAAGTCATCAATGCAGAAGCCTCGGGCAAGTATCTTGATGAGGGACTCAAAGGTGTAGATTCCTGTAAAGGTGTACCTGGGAGCAAGGGTGAAGCTGAGAGTGAGGGAAGAGCCGTGACCAGCAAAGAACACTAATGTGAGACTTTTTTTTTGCCCTAGCACTGTCCTGGACACACTTCTTTTCCTATGTGATCCTGTATCCTAGATGGTGACAGCCTCATTCTGGAGTCCTCTGCTTTCTTTCTCTGGCAGCCTTATACCAGGTGAGTGTACCCTCCATTCATCCTTCCCCCACACCCATTTCTACCCAAGCTTCTTGCCCAGGTGTGAAAATTCTTAGTTATAGCTTTGGGTGAGGGTGAGGGTGAGGGTATATGTGTATGAAGTATAGGAGGTGGGCTTACGAGTGGTTGGGTGTGAGCGTAAGAGTGAGGAAGGAAGAAAGACAATGAGGGTAGTGGTAACAGATGTGTATCTCTGGAAGGATGAAGGTGACAGAGGTTGTGAAAATTCAGGAATATTAAGGAAGTATCCCTATGAGGGATAAGAGTGACAACACCAGAGTGGATCTTTCCCAGGATTCAAAGGGCATATTAAGGACAAAGGTTGAGAGGGAATCTGCTGCATCCCAGGGAGGAGAGTGACTGTGATGAAGTATGCTACTACCCCCCTTCAGGTAGGGGGACTGAACCTATTATTTTATTGGTATGAGGAGCTCCCTTAAAAAAAAAACAACTCCCCCTACCAATGATCCTTCTCTGCAACTTCTAGTCTTAAAGAATTATCTAGAGCACTTGGAGGTTAAATGACTACCCAGTCATGATGCATCAGAGGTGGGACTTGAATGCTGGTCTTCTTTTCTCTGAGGCCAGCTCTCTATCTATTGCACCACATTATTCTTAACATACCCCTGGAGATAAGGATTTTGGTGAAATGAAGGTGTGTCCCGGGAGGGAAGTGTACTTGGATCATGCGTGAGAGGTGTAGAGGAACCACACATGTGAGACTTACTCCACGTTTTTGGACCAGGGTGGTGGGTCACTCATGGTCATGAACACACAGTTTGCCAGGATGGTGATCATGATGAATAAGCTGAACAACGTTAGGAGGGGGAAGGGTTAAGGAAAGTTTGAGAGTAAACAGAGATAGGGAGGAAAGGCAAGGGGTCAATACCGGTCAACACTCTAGTTTTCTTCTCTATGTCCCTCTCAATAGATGTGCCTTCCCACAGCCTCCTCCCTTCCCTGTCTATCCCTCCAGCTGCCCTCTCCAGCTCCAGCCCAGGTGCCCCCATGCCCATTCTGGGAAGGATATGAGTGGATGAGAACTTTGATGGCCCCACGCCTTATCTTACTGAAGGGGCTCAGCATATACAGGGCTGGGGTGGCTGAGAATCGGAAAATGGATTTTCCCTTGTTCAACACGATGAAGGTCTGAGAGGCAGAGGCCATGAGAGACACAGAGATATAGAAACAGACATTGAGAGATGTGAAAATACAGTGAGAGATACTGATGGAGGTTTTCAGAGACATTGAGTAAGACGGACTCAGATTGGGCAAGAGAGAGACGAAGACAGACTATGCAAGGCACTAAGGAATGTAGACAGAGACAGAGAGATGCAGAAAAGGACCATGAGAGGTGCAAAGAGATAGACATGGAGAAACAGAGGGAGGGAAAGAGATGAAGAGACAGAGATACACAGTCAAAGGCTGCAAAATATGTAGAGAAACAGGAAGAATTAGAGAAACCCATTGGTCAAAAGGTATGGAGAGCAAAGCCACAGAGACAAAGGGACTGAAATACACCAAGAGGCAGAGGCACAGAGAGACACAGGGACGAGACCTTCTTGTCACTGTAGTAGGGATCCAGATCCTCCAGTGGGATGCCGATGACCTCAGGTGGGGGGTCTCCATAGATGAGGGGCAGATTCTTCCCCGCTTCCAGGTCACTTCGTGGCTTCCTCTCGGGCTCCTCCACCTCAAGCTGCTTGTTCCGAAGGAGTCTTGCCTCCTCCTCTATTGCCCGCTTCTCTATGGCCTGCAGGGACTCAAGAGTGAAGGGACGCAGGCAGTCGGGTCCAGGGGGCACAAGCATGGGCACAGGTGGGCTTGCCATCCTTTCATCCTGTGATCAGGGGCCAGGGAGGGTGGGCAGGATCAGAGCAGCTGCAACACATGACCCCCCCAGAGCCAGGGATCACTGTGGCCATCCTGGGGCCAGTGCCAACCCAGAGCCCACCTACTGCAACCACGTACCTTTTTAGAGTTCACCCCCTGATCAATACCAGGTCTGCCCAAGGCCCCTCCCTGCCTTAGGACAGACAGACCCCAATATAACCTTCTTCCTTATGAGACCTTAACTGACCACAGGACGTCCCTGAGCAGAGACTAGAAATAAATAAGTAATCCCTAATTTACAAGATCTATTAGGAATTATGTGTGTATGTATATGTATACATGTGTGAGTATATGTATGTATATATTTGTATATGTGTGTTTGTGTATGTGTGTGTGTGTGTATATTGCCAATAGGGGACTCACAGCAAATCGTCTGATGGGTTTCAATGCACCAAAGCCATAATTCTCTTCAAAGGCCTCTTGGTTCAAGCACTTGGAGAATTATTGGGAATAAGTCTGCTGGGGAAAAAAACATCACATAACATCCTTGTTGGTTTTTCTCCATGGAGAACCCCACCCCACCCCACCAACAGGATCCAGGGATTAGGAAGGAGGCAAAACCAAGGTGAGGGAGTCATGCTGAGCTATAGCATTGGGGTAGAGGTCTGGGGACTTGGGAAAGGATAAAGTACTCAGTGAAGAAGCCAGAGAAAAATGAGGGGGATTGTAGGACTACAGATTTAGGGCTAAAAGGAATCTAAACAGTTCTCATTTTGCAGGTGAGGAAAGGGGGGAAGGAGCTAAAAAGGATTTGCTTGGGGCTGAGTGTAAGTGATATGGAGGCTTCCCACCCTCCACTGTGGCTGGAGCGGGAGTCATAGCTGTTGTAATCAGTTCTCACTTCAGACCTTTGGACAGAGAAAAGGAAAGAGGAGATTCCCTGATCTCATACTCTACATGGTGCCCTGGTTAGACCTTGGTTCAAGGTGGCTCAATGGTCTACCCTCCCTTTCTCCTTTCCAAGAATCACCTAGCTACTGAAGTCCTACCCCAGACAGGATATCTGGTTCCCTTACATCTGATCACTCCTTCCCAGACTCCTCCACACTCTCATACTCCTTGTTAGAAGGGGAAGAGTGATTGACACCCCATATACATACACTGAAAGGAGACATAATGATGGCCCTGAAGAAAAGGACCTCTAGACAGCCAGGATGGGACACCCACAGATATAATCTGCCACACACATAGACTCACTCAGTTATGGTCAAGTTGGGAAGAGGAGGAGATACCCAAGGCATGGATGCCAAAGTTTGGACAACTCCTCAGGAATGATCAGAAGATCATAGACTTCAAGGGAAAGGACCTTAGAGGCCATCTAAGGGACAGAGAGTTCCCAAACTGATAAGGAAGCAGCCGAATTAATCAATAGAGAAGCATCTACCATGTGCCCAGCATTGTGCTAGGTCCTGGGCACTGAGGAGGGAGTGTTCAATGGTAGGCAAGTAAGGTTTGGGTAGAGTGTTGTGAGAAAGAGTCCCTTCCCTAACTACCTGGAAAGGGCATCAATTGTGTGTGTGGTGTGTATGTGTGTATTATAGGGACACAAATACAAACATAGAATGAAACACATGTGGACACAATCAGATATGGACACTGGCAAATACAGAGGAAGACACTCAGAAACAATCACATAGTGAAACATGGACAGAAACACAAAAACAAAATGAGGTACGCATTGCTACAGTCATGTGTACAAAGAGACCCATAAATTTAGACCCAATACACCACAGGTTCCCAGCCTGGCATACATGTACTCTCAGTGGGTCTAAGAAGTTTGTCAAAGGGGTTCAGGGAATAGCTGGTAAATATTGATATTGATATGTCATACATGCCAAAACATGATATAACATGGCATGACACATGACTTAATATGTTGTTTGAAGTTGTTCGGTCACGTCTGACTCTTTGTGACCCTATCTGAGGTTTTCTCGGCAGAAATACTGGGGTGGTTTACCATTTCCTTCTTCAGCTCATTTTACCAATAAGAAAATCAAGGCAAACAGGGTTAAGTGACTTGCTCAGGGTCACCCAATTATTAAGTGTCTGAGGCCAGATTTGAATTCATGAAGATTAATCTTCCTGACTCCAGACCCAGCACTCTATCCACTGTGCCACTTTGCTGCCACATGTGACCTAACATAGCATAATGTAATAGGACATAGTATAATTATATAGTATAGTAAAGTACAGTATAGTAGAGTATTACATAGCATAGCATGTTATATCATGATTTGACATAGATGATATACTATAACGTATCAAAACATAGCTTAGCATAATATAGTTTAGTAGAATGTAACAGAACAGAATAGAATATTCCAGAAACTCTGGATTGATTTCTAATTAAGTTACAAATTTTTTTGTGTATCCTTATTGAAGAGAAACTAATCACTTTACTCTTCCATGCATATGCATGACAAGCTCTAGAAGCGGTTTCCTTCCCTATTGAATAAGAGGCACAGGAAGGTTTACTAAAAAGCCAAGGAGTACAGAGATCAAAAAAGAGTGGAAGATTTTGCAATATCCAGAGAAAGAAAAAAACTTGACCCAAAGAGAAACATAACACATCCTCACACACACAGGCTCACAAGATGATGGGCCCTATCGAAGCATGGACACTCCCTTTCTGATGGGGATCAACAGGCTGGGAGGGACAGTCTCTGGGGTCATTGGGCTGGGCTGGCCACAAACGCTTCCAACAGCTCTGGCTCCTCCAGCTCTCTCCCAGGCTCACACAAGGAGTCATGTTGCCATGGCATGATGACTCAACTCATTCTTCCAGAAGAGAGAGAAGGGAGAGAAGGAAAGAAGATGAGTAGGATAGTAAAGAATCCCTCAAACAAACAGGTACCTCTATTAAATTTACCCCGTAGTATCTCTATGGTACAGACTTCATCACTCACCTTATCACAATCTTCTTCGTATCTTCAAACCATCCATCACCTGCCCCTTTTATAACACACACCAACAATACAATCTTTCCATTATATACACTATCACCACCTTATCATGTACATCCACATGCATCTTGCCTCCAAGATAGGCCCCATTGTAAGTCCATCTTACCCCTAAACTGGATTGCAACCAGAGAAATAATTTTGAACAAGATTGCCCCAGAGAGACTCCTGCGATTGCAGCACGATATTTAAGGAACTAGAAAATTAAAGCCGAGGCAGCAGCTCTCATCTCATAAATCACAGATCATCTCAATCCCTTATTCACTTACTTTTCCAAGTATGGATAGTTTCCCAAATTCAAGGAAGCTCAATTAGGATAACTGAGGCCTACGTTGACAGAAAGAGACTCAAAGGACAGCAAGTGATAAAAAGTATGCTAATGTATGTTGTAGACAGCTGGTTAGGTCTATGGTTAGTTCTAGTGGTTCTCAAACTTTTTTTTCCATGGACAAGTCTAGGTGGCAAACATTTCTAGAGAGACCATGGCCCTGCCCCTGCCTCTGCCCTCTCTGTTTGCCCAGAGTAGGAGAGAGAAAGTGTGCTGCTTCTGAAGGTATATCAGGCAAGAATGAAAGGAAGCCTGGGTTTTATCAACAATCAGTTCATACCAAAGACTAGTCCAAGATAGAGTAAGAGAATCCTCCTCACACAACCCACTAAACAACAAAAGAAGAAAATGGCTTTAATTCATCATTCAAGAAAATAAAAACCAAATAAAATTTTAAAAGAGTAATCAAATCAGTTAATGTACCAGAAAGATCAGGTCGTTGGTGCAGTGAATAAAGTGTAGGGCCTGAAGTCAAGAAGACTCATTTTTCTGATTTCAAATCTGGCCTCAGACATTTACCAGCTGGATGACCCCGGGCAAGTCACTTTACCTTTTGCCTCAGTTTCCTCATGTGTAAAATGGAAATGGCAAACCACTCCAGTATCTTTGCCAAGAAA